AACATACCGTCATCTAAAATCCATTTTTTGTGAAATATTTGATATCGTTTCCCTTCTAGACATGAGATTTAAGAAGTCTGAAATTTTAGCAGTTTTTATGCCCTAGAAAATAGTTTATTTCGCTAGAAAAAAATTTCGGCCACCTCCACCCCCTCTCAAGTTATCAGAGCTCGAAACTTGTAACATTTGAATTTTTGGCTCCTTATATTTCCGAAACTGCAAGCTTTAACGAAATTCTATAAATGCGGAAAACCAACGATAAGTGCCAATAACAAACACAATTATTTTGCTTACCTCACGTAATTAACCCTTAAAATAGAGCATAATGTTAACTCCATTTTAAATTTTTATACCCATACGAAGGGTATACTAAATTTGCCTTACCGTTTGTAACCCTTAGTAATAACGGTCTTAGATATAGACTCAAGTGTATGTTTTTGATCAGCGTCGAATTCTGAATTGATTTAGCTTTGTGCGTCCGTCCGTCCATCCGTCCCAACGATAACTTAAAAACTAATTGAACTAAGTTCACCTAATTTTCACAAATGATTTATTGTAATAAGTGCCAGAACCCTATTTAAATTGGACATGATTGGGGTACTGGTTCGGGTAGCTGCAATACAACTTCAAAATTTATTTGGCTATATTTCAGAAACTATAAAAGTTGTGGTATTGAAGTTTCACACAAGCGAATATATTAACAGGGCCAATGTGTTTGATAAAAGTTGTTGAAAGTGCTTGGCTCCTTCTGGTAGCTGTCGTACAACTTCAAAAGATATTTGGCTATATCTCAGAAACTATAATAGCTGTAATATTGATATTTCACACAAGCAAATATATTAGTAGGGCCGATGTGCTTGATAAAATGCGTTAAAATTTCGTGGCTCTTTTCGGTAGCTGCCATACAACTGCAATACTAGTTTGGCACACACAGTATTTTGAAAAACATATAGTACTGGAATTTTGCATAAATTAATGTGGTAATGCGGCAACTTAAAGTCATAGTCTGTCCCATAGACAGTTATGGCGTCTTTATTAGCACATAGGATAACAAATTCGTACGGGTATCACAGAGTTGACAAGGTCAACTGTATTTTTTCTCGTTTTTTGTTTAATTTCAAAGATTGCATACACGGTTTATGCTAAATGCATGCAACTTTTGAAATATATCTTTATACATATAAATAAAAGTAATTTTAATAATGTGGTTCATAGATTGTCTGAATAGATAGTTTGTTGAATGGAAAGCTACTAAATTACAAATCATTGGATTGACGCTACTTTATTTTAAACATCTATTCCTCAATTTCCTAAATTAATAGTTTTTTAGAAAGTAAATTAATGCTAACTACAATAAGCAAGCTAACTAAATTTAATTTAAAATTATTGAAAATACGTGATTTGTTTTTCTTTTTCTTGTTCTATACAATAACGTTTAATCCCTGAATTCTGACAATTAAAGTACCGTGAGTCCAATAATGCTTTATAAAAAGTTTAAGTATGGTATTAATACGATTGCACTACCGTCTCAGAGCTTTCAATACCTTTACATTGTAAAAAAACTCTTAAAGCTTTTGATCTATTTTGGAATACAATTTTTAGAATATTAATCTTGACATTACAAAAAATCAAAATCAAGACCCTGCTTTTTTTGTGAATGCATTTGTAAAATTGCATATGTATTTCGAGGGAAATGACATTTCTGAAGAATCATTTTTGCCTATTGTCATTTCGAGTTTTTTTACGAAAAGTGGACTAAAAAATAAAATTTGGAGTTTTCTGAACAACATAATCAAAAATTCAAATTTCAACTCAAAATTTTAATTATAATTTGGATTAAATATATTTTCGAGATTTTTCAACATTTTTTTCTACCGCCATGTCAGACAACATATCTGAGAGAATTGAGAGTAAATAAAGTTGGGTCAAACTATGGTTTGTATTGTAGCAGTTTTTCCTTCAACAGAAGAAAATATTGCTTTTAAATACAGTCTACGAGTATGTATACCTATAGAGTGGTATTAAAATAATATTTTAATACCACACTATTAAAATATTATTTTCATTCATAAACGAAACTATTTGTAGGATTGCATATATTTAGGATGAACGATTTCCGCAGCCTTTTAAATAAAGCAAAAATTAATTTAAGTTCTTGAGTTAATTAAGAGGTGTTAACATAATCTCGATTTTAAGGGTTAATTGTGTGAGTTAAGAAAAATAATTATGTTTTTTAATGTCATGGAATTTGCAATTAGCTTTTCTTCAAAATGTATATTATAATGTATATAATTATATCAGAATTATGGTATATAATTATATCAGAAGCATGCATTTTGGAACATATATCATACAAAATTAGCAAACTTGTATATATTAAATACACAATTTCTCAAATTTGAAAAAGTACACCAAAATCAACTAAATGCTTCGAAAAAAAATGCATTAATTTTTACCGACCGTATTGTGTATACAATAGGTAGGTTATGTGATGGCAACAAATTTTGCATATCGAGAGAATGCACTTCCCCATAGTAGGGAAGTGTAAGTAAACTATTTTTAGCAACCTGCCGGTCTGACGGTCTGTCGGTCTGTCGGTCTGTCGGTCTGTCGGTCTGCCGGTCTGTCGGTCTGTGTATGGACGCGTGTATCAAGTTCTGCTGAACCAATTTTGATGAATTTTATACGTCAGTTTATTTCGACCATGGCACGGATTGACCAACTTTTTGGATATATCAGTCCTCGGGAACTGCACTTTTTAGCGGGCCTGTTTTACATTTTTGACCATTTTGAAGACAATATTCAACCGATTTACTTGAAATTTTATATATCAGCGTTGCTCGACCGTCCGCAAAAATTCCTAACTTTTGGAAGAAATCAGGCATCAGCAACTGGACGGTTACAACGGGCCAAATATACATTTTTGTGTATATAAAGAGAAATAATCAACCGATTTTATTGAAATTTAATATTTGAATTCCTGGTATAAAAACAATGAACATATAAATTTTAGAAAGATCAGGGCTCGAAAACTGATCTGCGGGCCGATTTCACATTTTTCATCATGTCTGCGGAACGAGTTGATGGAATTTCTTGAAATTTGATATTTAAGTTCAGGTTGTTACAGAAACTAACTGGCGAACATTTCAGGTGATTCGGATAGCACAAAGCGAAATTTTTTTAATATTCTGTAACACTTTTGCTTAACTAGATGATACACATTGCGGTCGGTTATGTGCTTACCACATCAGATTTGGTTTTTTTCCTGTAATGTAGGAATCTTAAAAAAATGAACGGAAACGGGATGGTTTTTTTAAGTCAATTTTGAAATGTTTTAATAACGCAACACTTTAAGAATATAAGCACTAGTAAAAACTAGTAAGAATGTAAGCACTAGTATAGATCCCATAAGAATACGTGCACTATATCTTAGAGTCTAGGGCTGTTTTTCTGTCAGCCATGATATTAATACACACTTGTTTGAAAATTACAATTTAAAGTTCTGTGCAAATGTTTGTTTTTAACAAACGTTACCTCATCATTCAAAACGATTTACTTTTATTTTACCTACTACGTATAGAATTCTTTAGAAAAAGTGTACTACGTCAAGAGATTTTACTAAACTTTTTGGAATGTGATTCTTTGTAAGGTTTACGTTGTAAGCGCATTATTGAAGTCCCGGTAATGTTAACATAACTAATTAAAAAAAATATCTTTTTAAAAAACAATCCTTTTATTAAATGTACTAAAAAGTAAAAAATACATTTGGAATACACGTTCAATAAAAGTAAAGTGAAAAAGATTTATTGAACTTCGGACCTGATCTCTAAAGCTTCAGTCTATAACCAAAACGTATATGTTCCGTAAATGGCCAGTATACCCGGCTGTACAATACATTTTATATTGAAATTGCACTAATTTGTTGCAGAACTTTCAAGCATGTTGCTACAAAAATATTGCCTTTGTTTTTGAGAAAAATTTTGGTGAATTACTATATTTGAAATGAGTTTTGAAAACTATATTTGAAATTAATTCTGAAAACTATATTTGAAATAAATTTGGTTATTTTTCTCTTGTTTTATTTTTTATAACCGAAAACTACATAACTATAACGAAAACTTTTCATCTCCATATGAAATGTATGTGTGTATCCGGGTATACCGGTTTCGGATGTATGACACTTTTTTTTTGCATATTTTAATCATAAACTTAAATATCTTATAAAAATACTTCAATTTGAGATTACCTGAAATTTTTGACCGATTGTACTCATGATTAAAAAGTTATGGTAAGTTAAATTACAAATGTGCAGCCGGGCATACTGTGAAAAACAGAAGTATTAAATGAAATCATAAAAACTTTTCAAACGTTATTTGAACAAATATAATTTTACTGGAACAACCTTACTTGAAGCTTTTTTTGGCAAAGTACTACATGTCAGTCCGGAAAAGTTTTGCTCAACTTATCATTATTATTTTGAAATTATAAAACTAAAAGAAGATAAAAGTCTTGAACATATACTTATAAAAAATTATACTCCGTTTTTTAAAATAATAAGGGAAATAAGCTTCTAGTATAGATCTACTTAGGTACATATAAAATTTCAGCTTATTACCTTCAAGGGTGTAGAAGTTTTGTAAACATGTCCACGGACGGACGGACGAACGGACAGGGTGAAACTAAAAGCACTTTTTTTCAAAATTTTTTGGAAAAGTGATAAAAATCCCTTAGTAACTAGTAAAAGTATCATTACTTCGAGATGCTTTCGATTTTTTAACATTTTTATACTTTACCTTTACGAAAAAAAGGTTAATAACCAACAAAGCCTTTTTCATTATTCCAAGAAAATAATATTGAGAAAAGTACGTAAAATATCAATCACTTGAGTGAATTAAAAGTAACGTACAAAAGTACATAAATATATCTAAGTAGATGTCGCATTCTGATATTCATTTTGTTTTACACTCTTTGTTACTTACTTTTAATTATAAATTTCGTAGGTAAACAATTCTCTTTGGACTCTGGGATGGATCTCGTAATTCAATCTTGTTGTGATTCTAATACTGAACAAATAGAAGCAAACGCCATTAAAGAAGATAGTGAAGATGGTTTGGAAGGTACGAAATGCAGGTATTGTAAAATATTTTTAAACTCTCATCTATCAATAAAATTTTGGAATATGTATGAAGCCATACTATTTGTTATTTTTTTAATATAATATAAAAATTTATAAACTCATTAGCATAATAAAATTTATGACCTTATAACTCGCGAATTATAACTAGTTTGAGGCATTTTTTTCTTTTAGCACTAGTTACAAAACAACAAACATAAAAGCAATAATAATGTAAAATTCAGTCACTTTATTGCGCATTTTACTAGTATTTAATTCGTATTACCAATATTGATAAAATACCAACCACAGCTTTTCAAATGTTTTTCAAAAGCTAGAATTTCGTTAAGATCAAAATCAAATTCAATTCATTGAAATATGTTCGAAAGTATATCTATTTGATGTAGTTTTACTTGTACCAAACCGTTAGTTTTGGTCTGCATGCCTCTTTCACAATTCTCAAAGTATTCCATTTTTTTTAAGGAATGCTTTTATTGATTTTTTTTTTTAATAATAAGAGTTGTGTAGGCAAAAAAGAAACAAAGTATGTAAAAAACCGAGGGTATCAAAAATAGCGAACTGAAGCAAAATTGAATTAAGTTAGGTAACTAACTTTTTTAACTTTTGTCGTTAAAAACAAAAAAATTATTTGTTATTATACATATTATATTTTTCATTTTATAAAAATTAGGCAAAACTTTCGGATTTATAAATACAGGAGATATAAGTTTAAAATTTCGTGTATTGTTATATACAAATGAGCGTGTACCTGGTGCAGGGGAGACATAAATTGATGTAGTGATATAGAGATAGAGCAATTTTTAAAGCAAAAATGCATATGCTTATGTATTTTCATACGAATTATGTATTTTAAATTGTATCTTAAGACAAGATTGAAATAAAATAAATAAAAATCTATCACACCATTTAATAAAACTTCAAGGATATTATGTCTGACTTATTATTGGACACACGACTGCTAAGTTTCATGAATCTAAATTTAATATTATTCCAAATATTTAAAATTTTTGTTTGGAGCTGTATGACAGCTACCTGGATCTGTCGAGTGATTTCACCAAAACTTCGGGGATATATATGACTATTAGTTTTTGAAATATTTAAAAAACCTCTTTGAGTTATGTATATGGCAGCTACACTTCTCCGAAACGTTCCAATTACAACAGCAGCCGTTGTTAGCGCAAAAGAAACAATTTGTGAAAGTTTGGTATCGATTGCATCATTCGTTTTTGAGTTATCGTGCCATAAATATTTTACGCTGAGCAAGAGTATACTCGCAAATTACAAGTCCATACCGGAAGCGACTCCTTCAAGTTGTTACGAATAAAACAAATACGATAAAAAGTTCACAAGTTGCTTCTGTTGTATCGAGGACGAATCCAATTGTTTTTAGACCAATTCGGTCAACGGGTTCCGGTAGCTTCCATTTAACTTAAAGAGTTTATTTTAAATATTTGAAGAACCAGTAACGATATAAATATGCAATTTTGTACACGTGTGTCCATTCTGTATGTGCTCTAAAAATTTCAATGGAATGGCTGCACTGCTTCGGGTAGCTGCCATACAACTCTAAAACTTAATTTTATATATTCGGAAAAATATGAAAGCTAGATTCATGAAGCCTGGAAGTCAATCATGCGTCTGAAATATTCTCGAAGTTTTTATGGAATGGCTTGACAGGTGCTGGTAGCCGTTACACAACTCCTAATTTTTAACAACAAAAGCTAATTTTTAATATTGGGACGAACACAACTCATGGATAGCAGCATAGAATTTAACAGACGGGTTTCCAATTATAGTCCAGATATATTCTTAAAGTCTTTTTGGACTGGCTTCGGGTAACTCGCATGCTACTCCAAAAGCTCATTTTAAAATTTCGGAATAGTAATAAGGTTAGATTCATTAGACTCGACAGTCATGGATTCAATTGTGACTCAGGCATATTTGTGAAGTTTTTGTGGAATTGTCTAAAAGGCTCTTTTTTTATTACTTTTTAAAATTATATTATTCAAATTATAACTATTTTTTTGTATTTTAGCACTTCCTTAAATTTTTTTTAAATCGCCTTTTGCCTTCTTAATGTGGATATACCATTTTTGGCACCTTGTATCGGAATGAATTGCAGAAATTAAAGTACAATTTTTAAAATGCTTAATATTTTTCACTTTTGAAATGCTTAAAATTTCATCAGAACAACATAAAAGAAACTACAATAAAAGGCGTAAATTTGCGATTTGTTAGTCTCATTATATTGTTATCATGCTTGTACCAAAAACTAACGAGTTAAACTAAATTTTAATAACAAAAAGAATTTCATATTGTAAATGCCAGAACAATATTTCTGCGTCAATATCTCTGCGTTTGCAAAATTTAAGAAATGCATATGATTCCACTACAATAGTTAGTTTAAAAATTGCATTTTTAGGGTTTTGGTGGGATATAATTTTTAGAGAAGGGGAGATAGGTAAAAATTATGTTCTACGAAAATTAGTTTCTAGTAAAGATCTACGTACATATAAAATTTTAGGTTTCTGTATGCAAGGGTGTAGAAGTTTTGTAAACAGACACACGGACAGACGGACGGACGGACGGACAGAATGAAACTAATAAGCATTTTTTTTTTTTAAATTTTTTGGAAAATTACTAAAGAGAAGTTTGTATAAATCGGTGTGACATGTATCTCACGATACATAAATCATTGATTCGTGCGAGTATCATAAAATTGGCACGGTCAGCCCCACCTTTTCTGGTTTTAAATGAGATTTTTAACAGTACTTTTGTCTATTCTAAGTATTATTTCATTTGTTGGTTTGCGTTTCTAGTAATATAAAGTATAAAAGAAAAAGGTGCTTTTGTTATACAAAAATTTTTTCAGAAAATCTTAAAATAGAGCTATTTCAGGGCTAAAAAGTTCCAATGTCAGATTTTTGTGGGACCCTGGAAGCAAAATCCTATCTAATGCCTTTTGTCCCATGTCTCTAGCACTACTAGAAGTACCCTGACTTTTTGACACCTGAGAAGTAGCTATATATATAAAACTAGTCGTGTGTGCTTGCATTGCAAGCCTTGCAAGTATTATGCCTGTAGTTTTGAAATTGTGTTCCATTCTGTGTGTGATGTATTTTGAGTTTACGTTTTTCTTCTTCAAAAACACACCCGTAATATACATATAAATATGTTTTTTTCTTAATATTTTATAAGATAAAACTTAAAATAAGGAAAGCTCTCAAAACTAATTACGAAAAAGTACATAATTAAACAAATAATTAGTTCCTTTGAGTTCTAATATCTTTTAGTAATTTATTTTAGAACCTCCCTTTGAGTTAGGTCGCATAAAATCGTGAAATACCTTGATAATACGCACTTTAAGCGATAAATTACTGTATACGCATGAAATAACTTGCTACTAAAATTCATGCACGTATGTATTTGGAGTTTATAATACATGCGAATAAAACGCGTGACTGTAGAATGAGTTAACACCAATACTAACGTATATATTGTAATACGTAGAGCATACGATTTCTATGCAAAAAGTCCCAAGTTCGAACCCTGAAAAATGCGAGAAATGAATCCTGAAAAATGCAAATTATCAGAATATAAACTTTATTTTAAAAAGGTCATTTTATTTCTTTATTGTTCTTATTTTTAACCTTGCTGATGCAATATTATTTTCACATTTTTGGACACTTTCTAAGTCTTTTGGCTTTTACTTTGAAAATGCTTTGTGCAAAAGTACTAAAATTATTAAAAACTGAAAATATAATTAAAAAAACTTTTTTAATTTCAATTAAGTTTTTGAGATTTTAATTTAATGAAACATTTAAACGTATCAATACCGTTCATAAAGAAATAATTAACTTTATTAGCTGTTAAGTTAAAATAATAAATTATTTACTTCTGAGTTCCATTATAAAAAAATTGCATTAACATAAAATCACAGGAAAATTGATGCACAACTGATTTAATATAAAGCGAATACGATGCGTATTTTTAACATTTTTGGGCACCAAACTTTGTCAAAACATTTTCATACAGGCCATTTACATGATTGCATATCGATGCTGTATCGATTACTTTCCGATTATACCTTAGTATAATTGATTATACTTCGCAAAAAGAATACAAATGTATGTATTTAAGTAAATGTGTATGTATCGTACATGCTATAAAACTATATGTAGATACTCGTATTATTAATTTTTTATTTTCTTGTTATAACTCACACTTATAAAATTTAACTTTTTTCCAATATATATATGTATGTATGTATATTTTTTTTAAAGCTTTCTGAGTAATTTTTTTAAGCTTTCTATATGAATTTAATAATATTCAAAACTGTAGAATATATAGAAATAAATTTTAAACGCATAATTATTAAATCATGGGAGTAAACATACAAAAATTAATGTTTCAAATAAAGAAAAAGTTTAGTCAAAAACAAAATAATAATTTTATTCAAATATATGTATGTTTATGTCAAAAACAAAAAAATAATTTTATTCAAATATATGTATGTATATCAATATATGCATGTATGTTTATATGAATGTTTTAGAATTGAAGAATTTAAAATTTTTCGTTCCAACATATGAACGTATTAGAATCGAAAATTTTGAAATTTTCTGTTGGAACAATTAGAAATAAAATTATTAATACAAACATACATAATTATGAATGGATACCTATTTTTTTAAAACTGTGGGTGAACATATAGGATTGAATTTTCCAAATAAAGAAAAGGTTTAGACAAAAACAAAATAATAATTTTATTCAAATGTATATATGTATGAATATATGAATATATGTATGTATGTATATATGAATGGATTAGAATTTAGCATTTTACAGTTTTTCGCTCGAACAATAAAAATAAAATTTTAGGTAGATACAGACATATGTACATAAATTGTGTATGTATATTTTTTTAAAGCTTGCTGACGAAACATAATATTCAAAACAATAACAAATGAAGCATTAGTATTC